AGTAAATATAAATCCAATGAATGCTTATTTGCACCGAGCAAAGCTTAAGAAAGGTCCTCAGGCTCTTAGCAGAGGGATGAAGGATGGCAACAGACAACATACCGAGTGCCCGACCCATAACACAGCACATGCCACAGAAGCTTATGGATAAAGTATCAGGTCTACTAGGAGGAGGCCTCTCCCTCCACCATTTTTCCAGTGGAAGAGGAACTCAGTGACTTTCAAGTATCTCTTACAAGCAAGTTTTTAGGTGACTATGTACGCCAGAATTAGCAAAAGGGAATGGAAGATTTATATTTGTGCTGCAACATATTTGTGTCTTAAATTATAAGCCAAAGCATTTTTGGTACAACTATACCTGACCGCACAGTGAAAAGTTAACCAAAAGCCCTTAAGTTAAATAAAGATGAAGCTAATAGTCATTTCAATGGCGGGGTGGGGAGCCGGCAGGGAGAAAAGAGGAAGCACAATGGAAAACCAAGATCCCTTTGAGACCATACTGAGGACACATCCCAAATAAGCACCCTTCCTGAATGTGGCAGGATCCCCATTCTGCATATGACACGTAAGAAGCTTTGCACTGTTGCCAAGTTTCCCAGGACACACTCTGGGAGACGACAGTAAACTCTAATGCTGAACTAGTTTTGGTTTATGAATACCACGTTTTAGTAATTGTTAACAATTCACTTGGTAGGTTATTAATAAGCAGCCCTTAGGCAGATGAAAGTATGAACAACTATGAAGCAATAAGAACTGAAAAAAGGAACTGCATTTCTCACAAAGAAGGGTGGAGTAGGAGCTGTACTTGGAGTCACTGCATCAGGGGAGCCAGGAGAGGAAACTTAACTCTTCAGGAGGTTAGAAGGGTTAAGAAAAAACTAACACTACAACATCAAACTGAGGTAATAATAAACTTGCTAAGTAAGGCATTTCAAACCTTCTAATTGATGTGTATAGGATCCATGATATTATGCCTGGAAACTATAATTTCAAGCAACAAGAAAGTTACATGCAGGATTCATTCATTAACAAACTTCTGGAGTGCATCAATTCTTTGCTTTTTAAAACACATCCTTCATTTTCAAAAGCTCAGAAAGGGAGAAAGAATATTCTTACAGCCAACCATTATAAAATGTTTGTTTCATTTAGCCTTGTATATATCACAGTTAAATACAGTTCTCTATAGTTGAGTATGCTTTTACATATTTAACCAGCAAGCATTCTTTTGAAATGGACACAGAGAGTGAAATTTAACAATTTTACCTTTTTTCTCCAATTTCCAAAGCCATTTCAAAAGCTAACTTATCAAATAGATAAAGCAAAGTGAAAATATTCTTTCGCACCACTAAAATTATAAGTCTCCTTCTAATGGTCGTGGCCCAAGTTTTATCATTTACCACTTCCTGACTATTCTGTTTTTCAATTTTCAAAATTGTACACAAGGAAAGAACTATCCAAACTCAATGGTAAATGTAAAAATGCGAAATATTTGAAGAGAAGCTAAACTGATAGTTTATTATCAGTAGCTCTTTGAAATAACTTGCTGGTTCCATTGTGATTCCCATCTGTGGTGCCTAATGATAGCCGTGACTATCACACCTACTTTACAAGCATCTGACCACAAAACAAAAAATTTCCAATTTGAAGTTGTGATAATAGTGATCACCATCCTTTTTTTTTTTTATGTTTTTTTTTTTATTTATTTCTAGGAGAGAGAGAGAGACAGCGTGAGCAGGGGAGGGTCAGAGAGAGAGGGAGTCACAGACCGAAACAGGCTCCATGCTCTGAGCTGGCAGTCAGCACAGAGCCCGACACGGGGCTTGAACCCACGAACCGCGAGATCATGACCCAAGCGAAAGTCGGACGCTCAACCGACTAAGCCACCCAGGCGCCCCTAGTGATCACCATCCTTAAGAATTCCTAATAATTTCTCAAACTATATAGATATTAGGGTATGTAAGAGTTGTATTTTTTAAAAAAAAATGTTTTTTATTTACTTCTGAGAGAGAGAGAGAGAGACAGCGTGAGCAGGGGAGGGTCAGAGAGAGAGGGAGGTACAGAATCTGAAGCAGGCTCCAGGCTCTGAGCTAGCCATCAGCACAGAGTCCGACGCAGGGGTTGAACCCACGAACCGTGAGATCATGACTTGAGCTGAAGTCGGATGCTTAACCGACTGAGCCCCCCAGGTGCCCCAGGAGAGTTGTATTTTAAAGGTTGCAAAATGACTTCTCACTTCATTAAAAAATTACTTATTTTTGTAATTTCTGATAGACTGAATTAAAATTATGGGTAGAAAAAAAGTGAGTAAATGCACTTCAGGAACAAACAATTTGTTATTCTCCTGTCAAAATATACAACTTCAGAGTTGTATAGAATAACAAACTTTTACACACAGTGCTAAGTTTTTATTTCCCCTTGATTCTTGGCCAATTTGCCAAGGTGAAAAGTCATTTGTTGACAAATTAGAAAAAGTCCACGCAGAGTATGCTGGAACATTTCCTATAATCAATAACTTAAGTATGATCATGGGGTACAGAAATAATGAAGGGTTTGTGAAAACAGCAAAGGCAGGCCACAGACATTAAGCAGTAGGTCAGGACAACATGTATCCTGGGAAATCAGAAAGCTCATAAAATCACCACATATTTTTTTTAAAGACCCATGGAATATAAAATTAGAAAACCAGGAAATTCAAGTGGGCTTTTTGTTAAAAAAATTTTTTTTCAAAGATCACAAATATCCGACATTTAGAAAACCAGATCTAACAAAAGCCATTAATCAAATATTGGGAAAATGTCATACATGGACGTAAGTATCTTATAACTTCATAGGGGGAGCTACAAAGCAAGGTGTCATTCCAGGAAACGCAAATTCTATACATGGTGAAAAATAAAAGAGAACCATTGTGGAAGACAAATTTAAAAGCAATTGCTTATGTGCCTCAATCTATACTTTGAGGCCACCACAGAATACAGAAAGGCATAACATTCAAGGGGGGGAATAAAGGAGGTCTCATTTACAAAATCACAACTAAGAAAGGAAGCAGGATATTCAATACATGTAGACATCCAAAGGCCATAAGTATATATATGGAAAAAGGGGAGGTGGTTTATAATAACTGAGCTCAAATTTCAGCTGTCAGAGAAAAACTTTCTGGAGGAAAAGATTATATCCAAGTGCTACCTCCTGCCAGCACTATCAGAAGTTCAAAGTAAATTAAAACTCTGGGAGCAAAAGACCGGAAATCCCTCCACTCCCATCTAAGCACAGGCTGAAACCATAGGTTTAGATCACAATATGACCTAGAAAGCGCTGAACCTTGAGGTTTCCAGTACAATATGGCTCCCAGTACAATAGGTGATCAACAGTTGTGTTAATGCTAATCCCTTACATCTACAGACTGCTTTACAGTTTAGAAAGTGCCTTCACCTTTATTCCCCAAGCCCTTTGGTGGTAGAATCAATCCTTTACTCTCACACAGCTTGTAGTTTGTAAAGTATCTTCACACACTGCCTTATTTTACAGAAGGGACCCGAGGGGATTAAGTTACTGGCAAGGACGCGAACGTGGTAGGTGAGGGGCCTGGACGCCTGCAGGACTCTACTCAGTCACTAAGAGACGCTTCCTTTTAAAGTTCAAAGTACAACACTCCAAGGGGAGCAGCCAGCCCCATTCAGACAGCTCTGCAGCACAGAACTGCACAGTTGAACCATCTCTGCCTCGCTCTCCCTCCCTAAAGACTGGGAAACTGAGGCACCAGGTAGGAACAAAAGCCTCATCTAGAGTCACGCAAGGAGTGCTGTTAGGATGGACTTCCTCCACACCACCTGCGCTTTGCCCAGCAGCAGCTGAATCCTGTGTTTGAGACCAGAGAGGAAAACCCTTGCCATTACTGCTTCCCTCTCACTCTTCCTTCCCCACCGGGCTTTCCTACAGATGGTGGTCTCTTCTTTCCGGAGCCGCTCAGTAACAACCTCTCCCTAGGGCCCTTACCCATTTTTCACGTCGGGCCTCCGGAGTAAAAGAATCCGCTAGCTCTGGCTCCCAACTCCTAGTCCCCCTCCCGGAGGTGTCTCTCGACCCCAAAGCATTTCTAGGTCTCCCAGGGGAAGGTCCGACGTCCACCCGTGCCACCCAAGCCTTAAACTCCACAAAAGAAAACCCTCCCAAAGCCTCCTCCCGTTACCCCTCCCGTCCAGGACACTCCTAAGGAGCACCCCTAAATATCAGGAGCCTCCCAAGGGCTACCTGCCTCTCACCTGGGCCCCTTTAGCCACGGCCTCCTCGGAAGGGCGACCCCCAACAACCTCCTCCGGTCCCGAATCCGCTAAAGGGGTAACACCCTCTTCCAGGTACCTCTTCCAGGCGCCTTCAGCGCGGGCCTCAGTGGAGAACCTCCTGGTTGCTTCCTGGGCTCTGCCGAACGCCACTCCCTCCCGGGCCCCTTCGCGGAGTCTCCCTCAGCCCGAGTCCGGTCTCCCCACCGCAGACTCGGGCGGCTGTTTCCCTCCCTCACGGACGTTCCCAGCCCTCGGACTCCCCCCAGCTCCGTGTCCCCAGTGGTTTCCCAGAGCAGCGCGGCCGAGCCGAGGCACTGACTTCTCCAGCTCCCGGGCCCACCCGAGGGAGGGGGCGGCGGCGGCGCGACTCCTTTGTGACAGGTCCGAGAGAGCGGTAAAGATGGACGCGAGGCCACGGCGCTGCCATTACGCGCTGAGCCAACCCCCGCTTCGTACCGCCCCAGCCCTCCCCAGTCCCCTAGGAAACGCCCCTTCCTCTGTGGCAAGCCCTCTCCATTACAGCCAATCATCTTTCAGGGATTGTGCCACGTGATCGCGCGGCCCGCCCCGCCCCCCAAGGACGAGCTGGCCAATCCCCTTGCTGAGGTGAGAATGGCCCAATCAAGTCTCTCCGGCTAGCTTTCCTGGTACCGGATTTCCATCTGTCTCCTGGGGAGGAAGGAAGGTGTGGATTGGGTTACGGTACCGGAAGCGGGGCGGGACTTTGTTGTGGCGGTGAGGAAGAGGAAGCCCTGAAGGGTCAAAAGGAATACAAAAGCAAAGGCTGTTTTTCCTTCTTTTCTTTTTTCTTTCTTTCTTTCCTTTTTTTTACCCCCTAAAGAGCGCGTGGCCTTAGTGGTGGCGGTTTGGGGTGGGCGCCGCCGAGGTGAGGGGGTCTCGCCTCCCGCACGCTGGTAGGTGAGTGCGGCCTGGGCCCTGGCCTGGCGGAGAGACCTGGGTTCCAGCTCCTCCGCTGAGGAGATGGGCGGGGGAGGGGGGGTGGCTACGTCTGGTGTGAGGTTTAGGGCCAAGCCTGTTCTCAGTCTGCGCACTTGCCCAGTATTCTGAGGCACCGGGGCCAGGGGCTTGCTGGGGGCCAGGCTGAGGGGAGCCGAGGGAACCCGCGGGAAGGCCTCCAAGTCGTGTGGGGGAAGATCCCGGCCCTTTCTAGCGGTCTTGGGACTTCGCACCTCTTGCCGGCCCTCTTCCACCGTTTCTGCTAAGTGGGGCCATCCAGGTTCCAAGTGAGGAGCGGGCTCTCTCCCAGGGGCCTTGGAACGGCTCCAGGCTACTCAGAAGATGTGGGCGTGCCTGGTTGGAAATGGTTGAATCACAGAGTGCAAGTGTAGGATGGGAAACACATTTATTACGTACCTTGCACCGTTTGCTATGCTCAGTGCATTTTCCTCTAATAAGGGGCGAGCCGCCGTGCTCGTTTCGCAAACAAAACAAAACAAAACAAAACAAAAAAAACCCAACAACTTAGGAAACTAAGACTGAGGGTTGGGTTGAAGGATCTTGATTGAGAGTTTGCCTGTGTAAGTTGTCTACGCGCACAGGTGTAAAGGTGGAGACCTACTTGTTGATAGCAGTGGTTCTTAATCTAGTAGAAAACAAGATCTTCTGTGGCCTGTTTAAATGCAAGATTCTCGGACCCTATCCCTCAGATAGTCTGATTGAGTAGATCTGGGGTTGGGACCCAGGGAAGCCAAGTGCGGGCCTGCTGGTCAGAATTCCCAATGACCGCTTCTGTATACCAGCTATGAGCTAAGATTTGTTGATTTTTCAGCTATTTTGCATATTGATACCTTAACAGGGACCCCATAAAATGGTTTGGAGGGCACTACTTCTGAAATCCCTGAAAAGAATCATTGTTTATACTCCTTTTTGATAACAAGGGATTGAGTGGAGATAAAGGCAGCTGTTACAGTCTTTCAAATAGAGCGTGAGAAGAGCTGTTAACAATTTATAGGGGTCTGAAAGCAGATGCTGGCCAATTATTTTCCTCAGCTGAAGTGTTGGTGCCTTAATCCCTTACAATCAGGAAGAATTATGTCAAGACCTGGTTAGCAGCCTTCCCTTTCACCTTATAAGAATCTTGATGTTTGCTTAGAGTTAAGCTGCTGCCTCAGAAATTGAAAACCTCATAGCTGGTAAGTGAAGTAATTAAAGTGCGTGGTGCCGCCATTGGTGCGCTCATACTGTAATCATGCCTTTGGGGGCAACTGAATTAAACAAGTTCAGGGTGTTCACTGTTGATCACCTTTTGAAAATGAATGGTCTTCATTCTTAAATGTGATCTGTTTCATTCTTTGCTATAGAATGCATTTTAAAAACTGTTTTCTGTTTTTTTTTTTCCTCCGGGTTTTCAGGATAATACATCCAACTATGGATGTGTTTTTGTTGGATTTGATGTTTGTCAGACTTTTTTATTCTGTAAAATTCTTGACCATTTTATGTTGCTTATGCCCCATTGTTTATCTCCTTTGCTGATGTAACACAGATCCTTTCACTTTATTGTCTATGCCTCTTATTCCTTTATTTTTCCATGCTATCTCCTGGATAATTTCTTGTTCTCAAGTTATTTCTAATCTGCTATTATACCCTTCCATTGACATATTAAATTCAGTTACTGTGTTTTTTAGTTCCAGAGGTTCTGTTTGGTCCTTTTTCAAATGTGCCATGCCATTGTTTTACAGTCTGCTGTTAATTTTGAGGCTTGGTTTTTATTTCTTTAAACACAGTAAGCATTGTTTTATAATCTATGTTAATTCCACTGCCAGTTCCCTTTGAGTCTGTTTCTTTTGCTCATTATTGCTGCTGTTTTTCTTCCCAGTTCACCTTTACCTTTTTAAAAAATTTTATTTATTTTTGAGAGACAGAGAGAGAATCCCAAGCAGGCTCTGCACTGACGCGAGCCTCAATCTCACTAACCGTAAGATCATGACCTGTGCCAAAATCAGAAGTCATATGCCTAACAGACTGAGCCACCCAGGCGCCCCCACCTTAACCTTAATGGAATATTTGGGACGCTAGGTTAAGATGAAGAAGGTGGTTATGACTCTGCACCTTTTGTGGACTCCTGGCTTTGACTTTTGTTTCTATTGCTTCATAAGTACATAAAACAATAGTATTCAAGGTCAAGGTCAGAGAAATCCTCAGGATGAAAACTAATTTGAATATTGGGTTTAATTTCTAATTTTCACCTTTTCTTTGGTTTTGGCCTTTTTTTTTTTTTTTTTTACTAGTTAGCTTTTCTGTTTAACAATTATTTAAAAAAATTTCCTCCAGTTTTTGTTTGTTTAATAATAGAGGTAGAGGATTGGTCTTAATTACCTAGCCCACTATTTCTGGAAACGTAAGCCCCCTTTCACGTTGATTTTGGAATGCGAAATTTGTGATTTCAGGCAATCTTAAAGATCATTTTTCTCCATATACCTTAAACTTCCACCACTTTTCCCTATGTAGTGTCACAGCTGCTGTCAATATTAAGCTTCCCTGGTACTTGTTTTAGTCTTCCTTTTCTGAATTCCTTAGTGCTTAGCTTCTATTTATTCTCTTGGAGCATTTAACCTCATTCTTTTCCTAAAAGTGCTTATGCCAGCCTTATCTCTTTTACTGAATGCAGCTTCTTCGTTTGCTAAAAAGTGGCGTGCCACTTCAGCACCTAGCATTCTGTGCCTTGCACATAATAGGTTCCCTGTAAAGATTTACAACTGAATGAGTTAGTTGGCCATGTATGGTTTCTGTAATGCAATGTTTGTCTTCCTTTGAACCTCAGATGAAGTAGTTGGTTCGCATTTAGGAGTCACAATGTGTAAAAAGTACAACTAATAATTAGAATCATACGTAGTGAGAAAAGTTTATACTTTGAGAGGCACACGTGAACTAAGGAACTGATGATCAGCCAAGGGAATCAATATTTTAAGAGCTCTTTACTTTCAGCGCATATAGATGAATTCAAGGTAAAAGTACATATGATGAGACTGTCCTTGTGCTACGAAAAGATAAATGTATTATAGGTTTGCTTAAATTTTTTTTTATTGCATGTGTTTATTTTAGATGCCTGGACAACCAGAAGATTGTGACAAATTGCTCTTTATAATAAACATTTTAAATATGAATAAAATTGCTTATGCTGTACCCTGATTTTTAGATTCCTTTAGTCTCCTTTGCTACCTAGTGTATTAAATAAGGGTTAATTGTGAGATTGAAGATTACTTTGGTAACAAATGCCAGTCTTGTTCTCTGTTAGTAGTTGTCATGCTCTGAAGTTTTATAATATGTAGAGAAAGTCATCTTGATCTGAGTTAACTGTGGCTTGGTAGAAGTGACTTCTGGCCAGAAAGCTATCTATTTGGAATATAGTTGAGTTTGCCAGATGGCACATTCCTCTTAATTGCCGTCGTGCATTTTGAAATCCCATGTGATTTGAACATGAGGTTTTTGTAAAAATGTTGGAAGAGCAGGACTTACATATATTTACTGACGAAACAAAAGTGGATTGGGCTATTGTTTTTGCTCCCCAAAAGGAAGACTTAGAACACCATAACACAGAAATCTGATTCCCCCTGGTGTATTTTTACACTATAGTCTAATGTTAGAATTAGGAGGGTGTCGTGGCCAGTGATGTAAACACTTAAGTAGTCTGCCATCACAAAATTCAATTCCATAGGAAACCAGATCTCATTAACTTGTATCATGGCACTGGCTAAATGGAATAATTTTCAAGTCAGCAGTAGCAATTGCTTTGGGGGCAGCAGTGTAAAGTTTAGATCTTGTATAGCATGTAGTGTCACTGAGCCCATTCGTCCCCCCTTCGTGGAAATTAAATACCACAGTCTCCAGTACAAACACAGAAGTGGTGTGTTTAACAGTTACTTTGGTTTGAAATATAAGATCTTTGTGTTTTTTTGGCTGTCAAGCAAATTTGAAAAGTGTTCTTTGTGTCAGTTTGTAACATTTAAGGTTGGACAAAGTGATTTTGGTATGGTTTTGGTTTTCCATGAATTCCCTATTCGAAGAACTTAAATAATCCTTTTTAAGATAATGCAGCGTTTGGTTTGATAATTAAACTTGAATCATCTTGGGGGGAAGAAGCAATGTGAGTAGAGGAAAGTTGACAGCATTTATTCTTTCTGAAATTAAACATACTGCAAAAATGAATATTCCTGTTGTAAATCCTCTTCCCTACATGTATCTACAGTTCCATCCCAGACCCCTGGGCTTTGTTTGTGTTTTGTTTTTAATTATTCTAGCAAAGAGGAAAAGTAAGACTTGTGGAAATTTAGCAAGGCAGTAGGATTTAGAAATAAACAGTTTAATTTCCAGTTTCTGCCCAGTTCCAGAAGGAGGTAAATGAGCTCCAGGTACTCATCACCTCCCTCGTGCCGAATAAACAACCAATGAAAATTGAACTCTTCAAAGAAAAATGCTTTGTGTGGGAAATACTTAGTCTTCAGTATAACAACATTTTTCTGTCAGTTGAAATTAAAGGAAAGTAGTGAGTTATTCTTGAAGAAAACATCAATTATATAGAAAAGCGACTTAATTTTTGGTCATGTGTTTCCAGGCGCACAAATTTTGTGGTATTTGAATACAATTCCCTATGGGACATGGGAGCTTGAGCAAATACTTACATAACATCTGCTATTTTCTATAACTTAACGTAGGAACATTACCTCAGAATATTCATGTGAGATCCCTCTTCCCTGCTTAAATTCTTGAAGTCCTCTTCATGGTTGGTTTATTCAATAAGTATTATTTTCTGCCCAATATATGCCAGCCACCGTGCTTAGAAGCAGTGCAAATACAAAGAGCCACTGAACGGTCACAAATGGTAAAACATAATGGGTAAGTTCTGCGGTAGAGTTGGAGTTAGAGCTCGAGTGGGGGAGTGGGGGTGACCGCAGAAACAG